TGGTTTTTTGTTGCTGTTGTTGTTATCGTTGCTTCTTCTTTTTAACTAGACAAGCAGATATATGAAGAAGCATCCTTTCCCTTAAAACCATCTCTGACAAATCTGACAAGTCTACCTGCTGCAGACTTCATGTATTTCTTCACTAGATTGTACTAAATCAATACTACTAAACTCTGACTTCTATTTTATTTGTGCAACTTGTTTTATTTGTGATATAAGCTAACCATCCCTAAGCAATCTGTACACATTTATCTAATCTCTCAGTGCCTTGATTTTAAAGAACACATTCGTTTCCTCTCTCTTCCCTTGTGTAGGGCTTTCCTTCCCAGTTTACGCATGAAATATTTGTCATCTGTAACTAACTGTTGACAGTAATTCTGCACTCTTATTTTGTATACTCCCTTTTAAAATATTCTCTCAGATTTTCATATTGCATTCTGTGATAAGGACTTGTAAATCTATGAATAAGCCACTTTTGTCACGTGCCCAAGGCCTAAATATCTTTTTAATTTTCAAAATGAAGATATGGTTTGGGTAGTAGACAGCAAGCCAAATTCTACTTTGACTCTTAACTCAAAAAAGAACTTCAAATAAGCATGTATTTTAAGCAAGAATGGCATCCTCTATCAAAGCACCTAAGAGGTAATTAAACTAGTCATAGCCCCAGATATGAGAGTTCCCCTGACAAGCCATCCTTTTACAGCATGCCTGAGACTGCAACTGCAATTATCCCGTTTACACTCTGTGTAGATATCTGGTTACTCATCAAAATCAGGATTGAAAAACTGAAAATATCATCTTCACCCTCCTCCCAAAATTTCTTAGTATCTGTTATCTTGTTTGCTGAATTTCATCTTACTTACTTAACGGAAATCTGGAATTCATCTGTTACTGCTTTTTTGCCTATTCTTACATCAAAGTTTTCATCAAATCTTGTTAGTTCTGCTTCCAAATATTTCTCACATTTTCTTACTGATCTCTGAATCAAATGGGATTATGTGGGCAAATAAAAAATACCTGACATTTCAGATAGACAGGGAGTTAAAGGATAATAGAGGCTACCTAACCAATGGAGAATCGGGGAAGCGAAGATGAGGAAGTAAATGATAGAATTGCATAAAATGCTTGAGTAAGAGAAAATATCCATCATTGATCTTGGGTATCTTCAGCAAGGAAGCTGCTAATTCTCAGGATGCACAGAAGTCACTGGCAAACTCTCCTGTGGGCTGACTGCTGACTCCTTCCTGCTGCTGACAGCTGCAGCCAAACTATATTAGCTTCTTATTTTTCATATTCCAAATACCATATGCATGTTTCTCAGATGGAATCTTATGAAAGAACACTGTTGCTAAGACAAAATGTTAAGAGAAATTTTCGGTTTTGTGTTTTTGTTTTCCACAAAACAATTGCGAAGCGTGATGATGCACATTTCCCTCAGGGCGCGTTACTGCGGTGCCCTCCAGTCCTCTAGGACGCCGTGTCTGTTGCTTTGTCCCGTTGTCAACGTTAACTGTATGTCGAATTAGTTAATAGCTTTGAACCAGGGTCACCAAAGACAGCTTCATTTGTCTACTTTGGTTGATCCCAGTACACCTGTTGCAGATTAAGTAGATACAAATCCCTTTAGTCTTCTTAATATGAAACTTGTGCTACAACAAAACTGGCCTCCCTTAAGAATGTAGGGTCAGATCAATTCTTCAAGAACCAAAGAGACTTTCTGGCTTTCCTCTATTTGATTGCTAGCCTTTCTTCCCATTTAGCTTTTCGGAAATCTATATTTTCACTTTTTAGTTGAACATATTCTATAATGAAAAATAATATCTGACTTGATGAGAGACAAGAACATCAGGATAGCTCTACACCTTTATTCCCAGAGCTGCTTGTAAGTGCGAGCGGCTTCAGGAGAAACACGAACTTCAACTACATCCGTGCTGTGCTTAGCACGTTCTTGTTTAATTTTGAGTCCCTCTCAGCAATTTTGTGGTCAAAACTACAACTCAAGCCTGAATGGTTGTTATAAGAGTAAGTATTTTGATGTCGCTCGTGTCACTTAGTTTGCTTTCTCTGGAACGTACTAGTAATAATACTCTCTTCTAAAATATGAGGTATATTTGCATAGCCAATGGAGATATTAAGTAGCAACTTGGGGGATGAAAATTTAAAAAGTGAAGTAAAATGCTAGATTTACAGAAATATTATCAAAGAAAACGCTTACTTTTTTCCATTAAAGAAAATAACATATGATTTCTATAAGATACTCTTTCCTAGCAGCATGAAACTGTCTTTAAAATGACTGCTTCTATGAAAAACAAGTACTGCTGGCACCATCAAATTCTCACACCAATGAAATACTTATCAGAGTCAAGATTTAACACAGGGTATGTCAATAATATTAAAGCTACGATTGGGCTATGTTTTAGAGGTACTTCTGAACAGAACCAGGTTTTTTTTTTTAAGTTTATATGTTCTACAGAGAATGACTGCTACTTAAACAATGCAAAGCTTTTTCTTGAGATTAATGAAGAATATAACAAGAAATAAATTTAAGGGATAGCATATGGTTTAGAGAGAATAGGTCCAAACTATAGGTGAGAAAAGTATATGCTAACCTGGCATTGAACACATGCCCTTTTTTGAGAAATATAATAATCATATTCTGGTATTGTCAAGGATTGTGTTCTGTACAATTTCCTCACAATTGAGAGAGACGCCTGTGAGTCATTTTTGTGCCTTTTAAATTTCTTATGTTTAAGGAAAACAATATTTTATAAATATAAAGCATAAAATTATATTTATTAACACAGCATTTCATAATACACAACACATCTAAATTCTTGTTATTCTTAAGTGAATGTTTCCTATCACCTTCAAGACACCCTTAATCTGGTTAATAGGATATGATAAAGTTAATTGTCCCCCTTAGTATTCCATACTAAACAAGAAAACTCTGATCTGAATAATCTCATATCTGGAGACACAGATCCACAAATAATCAATAATCCCAAGGCTCTCTATACTAATATCAAGGCAAATGGCATATTGCAGATGTACCTGAACTAGTCTAGAACTTGGGGTGGTGTATCAAAGCTTACTCTAGATGCAGTGTGGAAAATAGTCTGAAATGTACCATGGAAAGTAATAGACATCAATTTGAGACAGATTTTTTAACCTAGCTGAGAGATTATTTTGTAGGATGAAAAAGATGGACTGGTTCATAAACTGATATTGAGGTAGAATCAACAAGAAATGGTAAATGACTGAAAAACGCAATTGAAAAAGAAAAGGGTTCTGGATAAGATCCAAATTTTCTGGTTTAACAGTTGAGAGGATTACAGTGTCATTCACTGAAATGCGTAATATGAAGGAGTAATAAGTTTTCCATAGTTATATGAGCAAGTACGAGGGGGGCAACGAAGGAGGAAAACAGTTCTCTGTTGAGTAGCCAGTGATGACATTCAATTACCATATTATTTTTAACTGCCTATTGGATATTCAAATTAAAATACTTGTTTTTCCTTGATATAATGTGCTGCAATTCCAAGGAAATCTAATCATCTAGATATTATGATATAGAAGCCCATTGGCACCAGGAGAGTCAGTGAAAAGGATGGGACCACAGAGTGAAGAGATAACATAGAACAAAATCGGAGTTGTACCAATATTAATGAAGTACATATAAAAAGAATGCATGAAGAATTCTAAGAGAAGTTGTCATAAATGAAGAGGGAAGCAGAAAATATTGCATCAAAGAAAAGCAATAAAATTATATGGTTTAAAAAATTTCAGGGACAGTCCCAGCTGCATAGCGGTTCAGTTCAGTGCATTCCAATTCAGTGGCCCAGGTTCGGTTCCTGGGTGTGGACCTACACCACTTGTCTGTTAGTGTCCATGCTGTGGCCATGGCTCACATGAGAGGAAAAACAGAGGAAGATTGGTGACAGATGTTAGCTCAGGATGAGTCTTCTTCAGCAAAACAAAACAAAACGAAAAGTTCAGCATTGAGAAATGCAACAAAGGAATCAAGACAAGAAACCCATATGTATACTAATTATATACATAATAATTATATAATAATGTAATAATGTTTATATATGATATTTAATCATATATAAATGCATATATATGATAGGAGATGTATCTAATCTTCTATCATAAGAGATTATGTACATATATATATATGTATATCACAGGAAGTAAAGTCATATAATCTCCTGTCATATACATCTCCTCCATTGATATGTATATAATCTCCTTTGTCTTTGACAGTGAAGGTCACATTGGTTACTTGGGCAATGATCCTGTTGATTATTAATGGAAATAGAAGTCAGAATTCAGTAACCTGTGCAATCAATAATAGGTAAATATGTAGAGAAGATAGCTATGGACGTCATGAAAAATGGAGGGGAGTAAAACAGGTAGTTACAGGAATAAAATACTTTGTCTTTTGAAATTTTATTTAAATTTGACTGTAAAAACCAACTAGTTAGATTGATTTATATATAAGCTAAGTTGAATGAAACTAGAAAAGTAGTTGATGTCTTAGTCCATAAATTGTAGAAAACTGGTTGTAGAACAAAATTGTATGTGTGTGTGTGTATGTTAAACACTAGAGAAGGGTTTGAAGATAAGATGGTTCTAATAAAAAATGAGATACAGATAAAATAGCAAGGGTCATGTTCTGAATTTTTGAAATGTAATTTTTTCTTAACTTTTTAAGGATGTTAGTGCAGAATGAAGAACACAAATTTTCAAGGAGATTATTGGGATTCCTGCAGGAAAATTACAAGGAAGTACCTGGAGCTTAGAGACCTTTTCAGGGGAGATCTTTGTATCTGAGATTTAAAAAGTTCTGGAATCCATAATAAAAAGCAGAAGGGAGCAATTTGGAATAATCTGGTGTTTGCTCTTTCTGGAGTGTTATGATCCTTTTGATGACTGAAAAGAGCTCAGATTCTTTCTCCCTGACTGAATGCAGATTGCATAAAACATCAAAGGTAATAATGAAAAATCACACAGCAATAACAACATTCATCTTGTTGGGACTTACAGAGGATCCACAGCTGCAAGTTCTGGTTTTTATCTTTTTATTTCTGACATACGTTATGAGCATAACTGGAAACCTGACCATTATCGCTCTTACCTTGATGGATTCTCATCTTAAAACTCCTATGTATTTTTTCCTTAGAAATTTCTCCATCTTAGAAATCTCCTTCACAACAGTATATATTCCCAGATTCTTGTACAGCTTATCAACTGGGGACAATACTATTACTTATAATGCCTGTGGCAGTCAAATATTTTTTATTGGACTCTTTGGGGCTACAGAGTTTTTTCTCCTGGCAGCCATGTCCTATGACCGCTATGTGGCCATCTGTAAACCCCTGCATTACATGGCCATCATGAGCAACAGAGTCTGTGCCATCCTTGTCCTCTGCTGCTGGGTCTCTGGGTTGGTGATCATCATCACACCACTTGGTATGGGTTTCCAACTGGAATTCTGTGTCTCCAATGCCATTGACCATTTTGGCTGTGATGCAGCTCCCCTTCTTAAGATTTCATGTTCAGATACATGGTTTATAGAGCAGACCATTATTATTTGTGCAGTGTTGACATTCGTTATCACACTAATAGGTGTGATTCTTTCCTATGTATTTATCATCAGGACAATTCTAAGATTCCCCTCTGCTCAGCAAAGAAAAAAAGCTTTTTTCACTTGTTCTTCTCACATGACTGTTGTTTCCATCACTTATGGCAGCTGTATTTTCATCTACATCAAACCTTCTGCCAAAGAGGGTGTGGACGTTAACAAAGGGGTATCTGTGCTCACTACCTCTGTTGCCCCTTTACTGAACCCCTTCATTTATACCTTGAGGAACAAGCAAGTGAAACAAGCTTTCAGTGACACAATCGAAAGGATTGCATGTCTTGCACACCAGTAAGCTTGAGGTGAATTTGGTCAGTCTCTGAGCAGAAAAAAATTACTTTAAAATTCTTCTGAAAATCCTAAACTTATTTTATTCTTATTAATCTATAGCCCAGTCAGGTTAACCTTCTTATAGCCCTTTGAATCTTACTTTGGGAACCCACAATATACAAGTCACGCCGCTTCTTTCTTTTCAAATGAACCTTTCTTCTCAGGGCAACTTCTCTCATTAAAAGGACATGAGAACATATTTCTAGAAAATAAAAATAAAAATTTTTCCTCACTTATTTCTAATTTTCCACAAGCTAAAAAGAAATTAAATAAAGCACTGATGTCAGCAAGGTGGTGGAATAGGAAACCCCAGGCCCTTGTTTCTCCCATGGAGTCACCACTGAACAACATTATACAAACCAAATTCTCAATGTAAGAACTCCAAAAATGAGATAAATTAGCAGCACTCCAGAAATTGCAAAGCCAAGAAGAGTAGCATTAAAGTGGGAAGAGAAATTCACGGCATTTTTCATCCCATCCCATAGCCCCTCCCCATACTTGGCACTGAGTCCTGCAATCAGGAGAAACTCTCAATTCACAGCTTCTGTCTTGGGAGGTAAACAGATAAGTGGAATGTGCATCCAATATTTGGGCATTTTTAGGGTTACTCAATGAACTGGTCTCTATCTCACTTGTCCTGGAGTGGTAATGAGAAGAGTGGAATATTTTGGATGCCAGGTTAGGGGCTGCTAAGAACAAGGGGAGGTTCTGTGGCTTGTTATAGCACCAGAGAGACTATAGTAACAATGACAGACATCAGCTAGAGCAAGAGATTATGGGCTCCTGAGGAGAAAATGGGCCAAATCTCTTTAGGTAATTACAATCCCAGAGAAGACAAATTCACAGAAAAGATTTGAGAGGTCCTCTGAATCAATAGCCTGGATGATTGGTGAAGTTCATCCTCTGTGCAAAGCCAATTCATAAAGATTGAAAGAGGTGGCTGTTTTTTCAAATGTCCAAATTTTAAGAAAGATCATAAGGCATACTAAGGAACAGTGACCCATGGCCCAAAAACCAAATTAACTCTCCAACTAGTGACCCTAGGGAAACAATGTATGAATTATCTAACAAAGAATTCAAAATAGCAGTTTTAAAGATGCTTAATGAGAACAAAGAGGCAGAACTAAATGAAATCAGCAAAAGGATTCATGAACAATATGAGAATATCAACAGAAAGATAGAAACTATTAAAAAAAAGAGACCAACAGATATTCTGGAGCTGAATAATATAATGCCTTTGAGAAATTTATCTAGAGGAGTTAAATAGTAGTCTTGCTCAAGCAGAAGAAAGAATCAGTGAACTTGAAGACAGTTCATTTGAAATTACTAAGTCAAGGAGCAAAAAGAGAAAAAAAGTGAAGAAAAGTGAAGAGAGCATAAAGGACTTAGGAGACGCCATCAAATGGACCAATACACACATTATGAGATTCCCAGAAGAAGAGAGAGATAAAAGAGCAGAGACCCGATTTGAAGAAATAATGACTAAAAACGTTCCAGATCTGAGGAAAGAAACGAATACACAAATTCTAGAAGTTCAAAGAAGTCCCCGTTCAGTGAATCCAAAGAAACCCACAGACATTATAAACCAACTGTCTAAAGTTACAGATAAAGAGAGAATCTTGAAAGCAGCAAGAGAAAAACAATTTCTCAGATTTAAGGGAAATCCTATTAGATTATCAGGGGATTTCTCAGCAGAAACCTTGCAGGCCAGAAAGCATTGGGGTAATATATCCAAAGTGCTTAAAGAAAAAGCTGGCAACCAAGATACTGTATCAAGCAAAACTCTTCTTCAAAAATGAAGGGGAAATTAAGAATTCCTCAGACAAGCATAAGCTGAAGCAATTCATGACCACTTGATGTGCCCTACAAGAAATACTAGTGGGAATCCTTAAAGTAGGAGTGGAAGAATTCTAGACAGTAACATGTAACTGTACAAAATTATAAAGTTCTCTGGTAAAGTTAAGTATATAGACAAATATGGAATCCTGTAGTATTGTAATCTTGGTGCATAATTTAGTTTTAATTTTGATTTAGAATTTAAAATGCAAAAGAATAAAAATATAAATATATGTAAATAAATATACAATATAGAAAGATATGTTGATGTCTTCTTACTTCTGTAACATAAAGTGGGGGATGGAGATATAAAGGACTAGAGTTTTTGAACGCAATTGAAGTTAGGTTGTTATCAGTTTAAAATTGATTGATAACTGTAAGATGTTTTATATAATCTTCATGGTGACCATAAAGAAGATAGTTATGGAACGTTCACAAAAGGAAATAAGATAGGAATCAAAGCATGTCATTACAAAAAAATCAATGAAACTCCAAGAAAGTAAGTGATAAAGATAAGAGGGCCAAACAGCTTCAAAATATACCAAAAATAATGGCCAAAATGGCAATAGTATGTCTTTCTTCAGAGGAATTACATAGAGTAAGTGGACTAAACTCCCAAGTCAAGACATAGAATAATATAGTAACATAAAAGAGAAAAGATACTACTCATTAATTACTTGAAATTGACAATTTAAGTAATTACAAGTTGTACAGATGCTAACAATAATAGGAATCATTAGGAATCACTTTATTGAAGTAGAAGAGTAATTACCTAGTTATTTGTTGATGCCATCATTACCCTGACATAAAAACAAGCAAAAATTAGAAGAAAAAAATCTGCATATCAATAGTTTCTCTAAGTATAAATGAAAAAATTCTTAACAAAATTTTATAAATGTGATTTCAAAATACATAAACAGGATAATATGACATGATCATGTATGATTTATCCCAGGAATGCAAGATTGGTTTAACATTAGAAAATCAATGTAATTCTCCATATTAAATGACTAAAACATTTTAAAAACTTTTGATAATCTGAATATATGCAGAAAAATCATTCATTAAAGTCCAACATATATTTCTGATAAAAACTATCAGAAAACTAGGGACAGAAGAGAATTTCCTCAACTTGAAAAGGGGGATCAACGAATCACATAGTTTACGTAATATTCGGTGGTGGAATACTGAATTTTTTCCAAGATCAGTACAAAGCATCAGATGTCTAATTTCACCACTTCTATTCAACATTGTACTGGGGGTTCTAGCTGATGTCATAAGAGAAGAAAAACGTATCCAAGCTGGAAAGGAAGAAATAAAACTGTCTTTATTCATATTTCATTCCAGAGAGCATGACTACCCATATAGAAAATTCTAAAAAAAAATAGCTATAGTAGCTATCCAAAAAAGCTACTACAACTATTTTAACAAATTCACAAGATACAAGGTCAATAAAAAATAAGTATTCAGAAAATTAAATAAATAGTATATATAGCATCAAATAATATTAAATACTTAAGGAAAAACCCACCAAAATGTGTACAATACCTTTATAATGCAACCTACTAAACATTGTTAAAAAACTTTTAGGGGCTGGTTCCATGTGGTTCATTTCGGTGGGCTCCACTTTGGCAGCCCAGATTTTGTGGGTTCAGATCCTGGGTGCAGGCTTACACCACTTGTAAGTCATGCTGTGGCAGTGACCCAAATACAACAAAAGAGGGTTGGTACAGATGTTAGCTCAGGGCTAATCTTCCTCAAGCAAAAAAAAAAAAACAAAACAAAAAACCTTTTGAAAGATCTAAGTAAATTGATAGATATACTATGTTTATGGAACAAAGATTCAGTTCTATAAGTAAAAGAAAAGGAATTCTGACAACAACCTGAGTGAACTTGGAAGCAAATCCTTTCCCAGTCAATCCTCCAGATGAAAACGCAACACAGCTCACACCCTGACTGAAGACCCTAAGCAGAAGACTCAGCAAAGACGTGCCAGACCTCCTGACCTACACAAACTGTGAGATAATGTGTGTGTTGTTTCATGCCACTAACTTTGTGGCAATTTGTTTTGCACGAATAGAAAACTAACACAAGCTTTTAGGAAATGTCTACTGCTTTCATTAAAATGCCTCTCTTGATTATGTTATCAGATTCCTATTTCACGTGGTTATTTCTCAGGATATAAAGAAACGGCTTCAACATGGATTTACTAGAAGACACTAATATTGAAATCTTTATCTGTATACACATCTTCATTGTCTGAAAGTCGATACAAATAAAGGCTCAACTGATTAAGTCCTGGAAAATACAATTATGTGGCAAAACAAGATAAAACACTCCTTAAGATTACATTGTCTTAATCATGTGCAAATAAGATAGACATACCTATATAAGGTAATAATGAATGCTATAACAGCAACCTCTATAAATACGTGCTTTATTAATCATAATTCTGATCATGTAAATTTTATTATATAATATGCGTTACAGAAAAAGTGATCAATAAGATGAGATTCATAGCATTCCAAGAAGAAATCTAAAGTAATTGGGGTAAGGGTGATCATCACTGCTGCCATCAGACAACAGACAAATAGTCTTCTACAGACATTGTTGTTAATTACGGTCATACAACGCAGGCATTTGCAGAAGGCCACGTAAAAATCATAAGACAGGTTTTTTTCCCTATTTTTTACCTAGGCAATCATTGTGACACATTCATCTGCTTAGCGTTTCTGAGAATGAAAAATTAATGTTAGAGAAGAGGGGCACTGTTATTTCATATACAACTGTGATTCCACAGGTTGTTTGTGACTATCACTTCTACAATAAATGTACATGGTTCTTATTTTTCTTTCATTACTAGTGGAAACAGATATAACCTTAGAGAGCCCAATTAGTTTGTTGTATGAATGGTATCCAATATGTTGTAAAATATTACCCACAAAAATCCTTGAAAGAGTATCCCTGAGGCTGGGAATATATAGTATTTAGATTGATGTGGCAGTGACAGCATCGACTGGGGGTCATTTTACACAGATTGCTTGTGAGCACCCGCAAAAGAAAGGATCGCTGTTACTTACAGATTCAGGGAGAAGTGAGTAACTGGAAAGCTTGAACTATCTTAGACAG